CACTGATAAACTGGTACTGCATTTCTGACCAAATAGAAATTTTTGGCCATTCTGGTTTAAAAACAGCAGTAAAGTCGTCTGTTACTGAAATGCGGTAACATTTTATCAGTATGCTTTCTCCATTACTCACTCCTGTAATACAGTCTAATCCTTTTGAAGATCATTCATTTACTACTTCGTGAAGATTTTTGAACAGCTCTTTGTATTTATTTATATCAACATTGTGTGCTATCTCACTAACTCCTAATATATCATGAGTTCAGCAGTAATTATTGTGTGAGAACATTTTCTGTTTAACTGTGAGAAGAAAAATAAATTTAAGGTAATTGCACTGAGAGTTTTATTGTTTTATACAACTGCTGCAAGTAAAAAGGACATGGTGTGATTTCTAATGTTTTTTTTTTTACTAACTGCCAAAATAGATATATGCCCAGTCTTGGAACAACATTCTTTTGCTTTGTGCTTGAGTGGGAGTAGAAGGGGAACACTTAAAATAGTAAAGTATAAGATTTAGATCGATGTACATTGTCATTTTTTCACCTTTAAAATGCTAGTTCAGTGCATTAGAAATATTTATGAAGGTTACCTTGGCAAGCAAGTGTTTTCCAACCAAAGGAATTAAATTACACAAAAGGTTTAGTCAGTCTTCCTAGACCTTATTTTTCAGAGTTGACACGCCCTTGGCTCAAGTCTTATTAGTGTGAAGGCTGCATGTGTGACGCCAAGAGTGGCATGGAAACTATCCCAAAACCAGGAGTACCACCTATATTCTATGGAGGAAGAGTCCATTGTCAAAGGGTGTCCCCTGCCTTTGCATTAAGTCAGCAGGTTGCCGCAGACTGTGACATCCCCAGCCCTTTTGCAGTGGCCATGGTATGGCGAGCACATAGTAACAGCTTTCAGTGGCTGAAATTTAGGCTGTTCACCTAAATTTCATTCAGCCACTTTCTTTGAGGTCAAAAATTCTGTGTCAGGCTTTGAAGCACTGAGGGGAGGTAGAAGAACTGAGAAAGAAAGCCTAGATTTTTCAATATGTACCTAAATGAGATGCATAAATGCTGATGTAGCTAAAATTGATATTGATATTCAAAGCTGTTCTAAGCAGTTCTAAGAACATAAAAAATACATTAAATAAATAGACCAAATGCTTGTTGCAGATTTGCTGCCTATCATCTGCAGTGTAACTCTCCCTGCCACCCCCCAGTAATACTGATTATAAAACTTCCTGGCCAATGGCAGCTTCACTGCATCATGTTTGCTTAGTTTCAAATGAGGACCATATTTCTGTATGCTGAACTTGCTCACAGACAAGGTTAAAAATAAAACTGTAAGTGTAGAAAATCAGCTCTGAAAATAATTAGTTTTGGCTAGAAAGGCAGTGTGCCTTCTTACAGCTGGCTGGAGTTAGAGTTTTCCTTAGAGATACTTCATGTATTGAATAAAAGTAGTTTTAAAGAACAAAACTTTCTTCATCCAGAGTTAATTTTGCACAATTATTCCTCAATGTCAGGACATGAGAAACATAAATCACAGCATTATCTCAACTTTGTTGCACACTTTTTGTTCTGTAGTGTATGTTTTGCCATGCAATCAGTCATACTCTGAGACGTGTATACTACTGATGAAGAGTTTCAGCTGTTTTGGAACCAATACCTTCCTTGATGCTCAGATCTCAAACAGAAATCAGTGGGCAGTCTATGTGTCTAAGGCTTTCAAGGGGAAGACCCTTAAATTTTAAAGCTGTGGCTGTCTTCTGGCAGATAGTGAAATGCACTGGATGAAAAATCTGCTTACTTTTAAAGCTTGCAAATAAACCTGTACCTATTCTCCCTTCGTCTCTTTCCACATGATTGTGCAGGACCAGATCTTCTGCTGATTACGTCTGCTTTTAATTGTTTTGCACTATCAAAGTGATTTCTAGGAGCAAGCTCATACTTTGATAACACAATTGGAGGTGTATAAAACTTTAAAAGTATAATCAAAGCACAGTATTTTAGCTGATAATAACCACCAATTCTTCCTTTTTTATTTGTTAATTCAGCCATCTGTTGTTGTCTGGATGTGGTAGCACAGGAAGGATGTAAGACTAATATATGCTGATCAAAAGACCAAAAAAGAACTCTTCAGAGAACTTGCTTTATTTTATGACAATATACTCTCAATTGCTTCTCATGTTTTGTACCTCTCATGCCAGTCACAGTGCAGAAAAGATATATATGCTTTCCTTCAAAGATTAAAATGTTAGAGCCATAGTATTCCTGGAACTATTTGTGAAAGTTGAAGGGGTGAAATACAAATATGACCAAAAATTGATGGATTTATTTTCAATGGTTCTGGAAAGTGTTCTGAATATCTAATTAGCTTAGGCTAATGAAGAAAATATTTCCCTCCCTTTTTGAGAGTTTAAAGATTCACGAGTCTGCACCTTTAGTTCCTCTGTCACTTAATAGTATATTGTAGATCATGACGATAAAGCTCAGCTGTCTGTAGGAATGTCTTCTAAGCCCTGAAAAAAGTCTGCAGATTTTGATAGAGCGCTTACACAAGCCTATATAAGGCAGTTGAGTTTGAGGGAGCTAAATGTATTTAAGTGCTTCACTTTAAAAACCGTGTACTAAGTTAGTAATGCGTGCTCCTGTAGGAAGCTTTCATTTTGTTCTTCAACATAAAGATGTCTCACACATGAAAACTTAAATTTTGGAGAGGAAAAGGTCTAACTTATGTATTTATATTTCTAGAAGCAGAAGGAGTGACAGTGTTTCTATTACGTCTCCTCTTTAATGGATAAACAAGGAATTGGTAACTTCCCTTTGACTTCTCTTCAGCTCTTTAAATCAGTTAATCATTGCGGTTTCCTTGAGTCTTTGTTGAAATTGTCTAATTTCTGCTCTCTAATTTAATCTTCAAAGAATGAAACAGTAGAGAGGAAGACCAGCTATGACTTCCAGATGTAGGTCTGTTTCTTCTAGCGTCTTCTTGTGGAGTCCCAAAAGACTCCTTGACTTCTCCGTACTGTGACCCTAGGTATCTGCAAGACTTAAGTTGCCTTTCTGGGCTGTTGGCACTATTTTGGCACTATTTAACTTTGCACTAAAAAATCCAAACTGTAGTCATCTTCAAAGTCAAAATAGGTCAGCTTTCAGTAGTTTATACCTATTGAGATAATAGTATTGAGATAATAATAATATTGAGATAACAGTACCTTAAGGAGTCGAATGTGTCTTCAGAAGAACCAGTGTTGTTCTTCCAATGATTTTATTCAGATAAAAGACAAAATTGCATAATATCTTTTATATAACTGTAAAAGCTTGTATATAAAATCTAAATTTGAGTAAAAAGACTATTATCAGCAGTTTTTAAATTATGATTTTTGTATCTCAATGAAATCAACTAGCAGAATAACATACTTTGCTCTGGCACTTAAATACATCTTTTGCATAACAAATCAGCTTGTACCTATTTAAATTGTATTTTATTTTCCTACTGAAGACAAATCTGCTGATTTTGGTACAAAATAGGGATGCAAGTACTTTGAAGCAGGCTTCTTGTCTTGGAATGAAAGTGAACTTGGCCTGATATAAAAATAAGTAGGTCTTTACTACACACAAGTTTAGGAAAAATACCAACAAAATGATTCATTAAGCTATTTTTATTATTCTGTTTATGATATTTAAACTCATTTGCAATGCTTTTAATGTTTTTTTAAAGAGTTTATAATATAGCTATAAAAATGATAATGAACTGCAAAACAACATGCAAGCTTTCGAATAGAAGTTATTATTTTTTAAAAGTAATTTTTACTTACTGTTTTTCCCCAGCTTTGGTAATGGTTCATACAAAACTTTTGAATTTTCTTATAGTTTGAAAACAGATATTATAAAATGGTAGTGTTTAAAGTTTGGAATTTGGTTAATGAAACAAGTACATAACATAAATAACTAAGACAAATATTGTTACTTAATCATATTTAGTCATCATACATTTATGGCTTTGAGTGTGGCAGCCATTTAATATAGAGTAGCTCAATCTGCTTGACTGTAGAAGGCAACCACAGGAAGAGTTTTGCCTTGGACATTTCGGTATCACTCACCCATAATTTGCTCCTGACCACTGTTTGCAAGTTTGGTCTATGGGCGTCTTCTCTTAGGCTTTGAAGAGGCGTGGTTTTATTCCTCAAGATCAAAGCCAAAAACATTCAGAATTTATCTTGGCTATATTTGCTAGTAAGCATTAATTCATCAAAGAAAAGCTTTGCAGGAGTAAACTTGCTATTTTTTTAATACTTGGAAGTCATTGGTAGGTTGTGCATTATGCCATGGCACCCTGCTTGTGTTCTTTAAGCTGTTGTCAGACCCTTCCGTACTCATATCACAGCAGTGATATGAGAACAGTGCATCATCATAGGTATTTAAATTAAGCCATTAAAGTTTTCTTACATAGTTGCATTTTTTTGGTGGGTGAATATATTAGAAACACTCCATTTAAATCAGATCATTTTTGTCTATAATGTTTTTATCAGTTTTATGTGTATTCATGGTATGTTTATTTTTATTGTAAATCACAAAACAACTTTCAAAGAAAGATGGAAGACATAATTTGGTTCTGTGAGCTGGAATAAGACAATATTCTTTTTCTACAACTGTTTTTCTTGTAGTTGTGAACATATGACAATTTTGTTTGCATTAAAGGAAATAAAAAAATCCCAAACCAATCAAAGAAATTATCAAGCTTATAATTTTAATAATGACCTCAACTCAGGACATTAAGTTGGGAATTAATGATCAGTTAAGGTTAATGACTCAGTGCCTTGAGTCATTAAACTCCAAGAAAATGCCCTGTACTTTGATTGTTTTTGGTTTATTAAGGGTAGGTTGTAGAAGTTGCAAAAAAAAAAGGGTATTTCCAAACACAAGGGGAACAAATATGAACAGAAAGCAGAGGTGTTTTATTGTCTGCCTCCATCTGCAGTTCCAGCATAACTAAAAATGCCATTACCCATGATGAGAGTTATGTTAGCGAGAGGACCTAAGGGGTAAAACCTTTGATAGCCACCTTTCTTTTCTTTCTTGTTTTGAAACAAATGAAGAACCTCAAATGTTTGGCAAAGCATAGGTTAACACTACAGTGTTGGAACTGCACATCACCTTTTTCTGTGAAGTTATTCCACAGTGTCCCCTAAATGAGCAGCTATAGGATATTGCAGTAGTACCATGCTATGATCTCTACATAAGAATGCAAGCTTTTGGATATGCATTGTATGCAGCAGGTACATATTTGCATGTAAGTGGGTAATAAGTATTTTCATTGTAATCAGTATCTAATTTGTATGCTACTTACACAGTCCAGGAGATGGAAAGTTGTGTATGTGAGCATTTAACAGACAAGGAGTGCTTAAACCTGAAGCCCTTTATTTTTCCATACTGGACAGATGTAAGCTGCTATGATGGCAGTTGCTCAACAATATCTTACGAATAATTCTGAGTCCTTTCTGACATAAAGTACTATATTTAAAGTGGGGTGTCTTAGTGAGATTTTAACTTTAAATAGAATAAGGGTTAAATGATAACTTGACTTATCTTTTAAATGACAAAAAATAAAGAAATTGCAAGACCTTTTCACACATTAGATATGTATTGTCATTTATCATCTAGATATCAGGCTAGCAGTGCGAAGTAATAAAACATATCATCGAAAAATGTGCTATAGGTCTGAATCACTCTTTCATTCCACCTCCCAGCTAACTGTAGTATTAAATCAAACAAGCAGAACATTTCCTTAGGCAGCCATTGCCTTTTAATTTCCTGAAGAACCTTAAAATATCATTCATTACAAGTACTACACATATTTGGTTTTTAAAAGTCTCATAAATCAATAGCAGGCTGACTGTAATAATTATTACAAGTTAGTGCATAATTTTCGTGCTGAAGGCTGCATGCAGAACTTTAGCATATGCAAACGAGGCAATTCAAACTGTGTATAGATATTAATATGAAGAAGCAGGTAACGAGGTGCAGGCTATGAATTATGCATCAAGAGCGGCTGATCTTCAATGAGGAAAATGAATTCAGCATGTAATCTAATTAGTGATGGAAGTCTATTACATCTAACTGCAAAAGCAACCGTCCTTGAAACAAATTTATTTACAGTCCATGTTACCACTTGAAACAACTTTGAAATAATGTGTAAGACAACAGCTTAATTGTAAAAATTTTTTTGTTTGTTTGTTTCAGTTCTAGACCTGGAAGGCCCCCCAAGAGGACTCAAAGTGTCACCTCCCCAGAGAATTCTCATATCATGCCCCATTCTGTCCCAGGCCTGATGTCTCCTGGAATCATCCCACCAACAGGTAGGATCGCTCAAAACAACTTCACATGGGCAATCTTTTCAATACTTGGCTTATATCCACTTGTTAATAAATTATCAGTCTAGGAAACCAGCACCCAGATATCATAGTGGAGTTATGTAATGTAATGTTATTGCTACATAAATGTATTGTATGTAATGGAAATTGTGGCAGCTCAGTACTTTAAAATACAAATAACTGAGCAAATATTAATACTTTATATTTTTTCCCTATTCTTTTTCTTTATAAACAAAAAAAATTTGAAGCATGAATTACCTATCATGAGACAATAATCTCCTTATTCATTTTGAATAGATCAGATATCTTCTGATTTTTTTGCTGCTTTGCTTGATTAGATAATGTCATCATGAATATAGTTGCCTGAAGAAACTGAGTTAGTTAAAATAACTCCATGCTGCACGCACGTCTTTCTTAATTTTTCATCCTGAAATTCTATTTTTGATACGTCCCCTGAGGCGTTATACTAATGTAAAGTCCTGTAACAATCTGTTTCTCAAACTACAGTTTTCTTTTGGAAGTTACTATAACATCTCCTAGCAGTGAGTTTCTCTTAGACATAGTTAATTTAAGAAAGGCTGCGCTGCAGGAAGGAGATGAACAGAGCCACCGGAAGATGGAGACACCCAACAGTCAAGCTGTTGATGGTGGTGCCACATCCCCTCTCTTCATGTTACAGAAGAGTTAAATTCTGCCACTTGCTTCAGCATAGCTCACCCTGGCTTCCACTTCTTCCCCAGTTGTTCCTCACTTGTTTACATAGCTCAGTCTCTAGCACTGATTCTCTCCAAGGCAAAGAAAAGATAATCAACCAGACATGCCCAAATAAATAGGGAGATGCCGTGTCTTGGATATCCAATAGATGTCTGAATGTTTGAGTACATGCCCATGATCACATGACTTCACAGAATATTAGGAGTTGGAGGTGACCTTGAAAGATTATCTAGTCCAACCCCCTTGCCAGAGGAGGATCACCTAGTCACATGTCTATTTAAGTCTGAGCAAGATCCATGGCATGGTTTCAGTCATAGCTGACTAACATTCTGCCAAAAAACGTTCAGTTCAGGAAATATCACATGCCAGAAACTGTTGGCATTTTGGATGCTAATGTCTTGTCTGGAGGAGGAAGGAAACTGAAGAGCTTTTAGCTCTTTGGACAAAAGGGAGGCCATGCCTCTTGGCCTTAGGTCTCAAGAACTGTTTTACATAGTGAAGTAGACACAGAGCCAGAAATATTTTATTAGAAATTTACAGTTTTTGAAAAGGCTAAAGATGAATGAAAAGACGTCAGACAACTTAAGGTTGGTAAGAGAATTTTAAAGTAAGCAGAAGGAAGGAGGAATAAGACTGAGAGTATAGGCAAGCATAGGAGGGCATCAGGCAAGTAGGACTCATAATAGCAATCTGGTCAGATATGACTAGCCAAAAAAAAAAGAATTGTGATTAAAATGTCCTACACAATAGGATTTACAGGATAAAAGCAAATAGAGTTGGTGCAGAGTGAATGCAACTTGAGAATGATAGGGTCTATGTGGGGAAAGAAAAAGAGTTTTTATAGGGCAGAAGCATTCATATCTATGAAGGAAAGATCAAAAATTGGAGAAGCAAAGGGAAATTATTTTGGGGGAAGCAAGGCAGGAAAATATCAAAGAGAAATTGCATGTAAAAAGTAGAAAGGAAATGACATGAAAGAAGTCAGAGACAAATAAGCAGGCCAAAAAGAGGGATACAGGATAAAAAAACCTTGTCAACCGTATCGTTTGGGGTTTTGTGTTACAGTTAATATATAAGAGGAGATTGCCTCTTGATAGAATATCTTCTGGGGTTTTTTTGCATTTTTTTTTATTCTAAGAAAGCAGCTTAAAACCACAACTAATGCCTAAAGTATCCGATTCCTCTCTAGTCCTTTAAAGCTGGTCATAACAAGTTAACGATAAAAATATATGGTACTTAACACAGGAATCCAATTTCTTAGAATATCAGCTGACAAAACCAGATGTAGATCTTTTTTAAATGATGATTAAAAAAAAAAGAAGAAAATAATTCAAAATTAAAGAAAATAGGCATATGTAAGATTATCATTCACCGAATCCTTTTAGGATGGTAATGCTTTTGTAAGCAAAAGAAGGAAGGTTTAAATAAATTTGCTGTTAAGTTTGAACTGGTTTCACCTTACATGGCTTACCACAACAGAAGGAGTGAGCATGTTTCTTCTCCCATTGTGGTGGTGTTGAGTCTCATACAGCACAAAAAATGCAAACACTAACACTGTTAGAAGCAAGGTGTAGGGTATAGTGTTCCATGGAGCATGGCTCAGCAAAGGTAAGGAGCATCGTGACAGCAGCGCTACACTGGTCATTCCAGCATTTTACAGACAGGCAAGTATAAAAATAGGTTTAAAATCTGATCTTGTAAGTTCAAATCAATGAACATTTGTGCATCTACATTAATTGAATAAGTACTAAAACTACTGTAAGAGCCCTACCAAGAAAAAACTGCTGTAACTGCGACAGAAGATGTAGGTGCTGTTATGTACTAGCACATTAGTTGACACTGGAAATTCTCGCTGCTTGTGAACGTTTTCCTCCATGTTTTCACTGTACTCATATAACCACAGAATAGTTGAGGCTGGCAGGCACCACTGGAGATCATCTAGTCCAGCCTCCCCTGGTCAGAGTAGAGACACACAGAGCAAGTTATACAGAGCTGTGTCCAGATGGGCTTTGAGTATCTTCAAAGATGGAGAGACCACAATGTCTCTTTGCAACTTTTTCCAGTGTTTGACTACTCTCAAAATCAAATCTTTTTTCTTACTTTACAATGGAATTTCCTATATTTCAATTTGTGTCTGTTGAGCAACACTGAGATGAGCCAGGCTCCATTTTCTTTACCCCCATCAGGTGTTCATACAAATTCATAAGATCCCACTGAGCCTTTTCGAGGTTGAACAGTCCAAACTCTCTCACCTTCTCTTCATATGTCAGGTGTTTCAAACCCTTAATCATCTTTGTGGCCCTAAGATGACTCCTTGTTTGAGAAGTTTATGAAGTTTGAATTTCCTGTTAGGATCCAGCTCTAAGCAGAAAAGAAAAAAGTACCAGATTGTTAAGTGCTTCCATCCTCCCCCACTGCCCCCCACCCTTCTCTCTCTCTTTTCTTGATAATGAATTCTTGTTTTTAAGCTTTCTGATTGGTTTAATAATCTAATGACTAAGTTTCCTTCCTGCCTATGAAAGAGTATAAGTGATCACACAAGCAATTTTGTGCTGTTTTATGTTCTTTAAGTAACAGAGATCTGCAATTATTAGATATATCTAGGATACGCAACACTATGATTTAACATACGATTTTTACTTGAAAATTTTCCTTTTTCTGAAATCTGCTGCATAATATAAAAATATATTTGAAGGTGGAAATCTTGGTTTCTAAAGGGGCTGGTTCTGCGTGCATTGTTTATGTGTGCAAATAATATTGGTACAACACTGTAAGCTGAGCCTTCTCATGACATTTCATGGTTGTGTATTTTTGTAGGAGGCCAAGTTAAAGATCCCTTAAAAATGTAATCCAGTACTGGTCCAATCTAAAAACCCTTGCAGAGGATGTGGCATCGTCACTTGGAATAGATTTGCTTTAGAGAAGTAGTTAGGGACTAAGCTGAGATTTAGGTACTATATTGACAAGGAAAATAATAGAGAAAAGAAAGGAATAGTATTCCATGGTTTTTTTTTTAGGGAGCATATGTTGAAGAAGTAAGGATCACCTCTTGGGTGATATTCTGTCCATTTTTATCACAAGGTTCAGAAATGTTACCCACAATTGCTGATGGAACCACTGCCTTTCATTAGTGTCAACTTACAGAATGTTCTCAACTTTAGTAAGGACTGGTCAGCCGACAAAAAGACAGTCTTACGTTTATTAAAATAAATGTAAGACCTTTGAAGGTGTGACAAAATGAGAAATGTGTAGTAACAGGAAATGAAGAATTTATTGAATTGTCCAGAAAATCAAAATCTGCCTATGTTACAAATAATGTAGTCATAAGAAAGAAGAGTTTGGTGTAGGTTCAGACAGGTCTGCTGACTTTTCAGGCTTCTCTGGATAATGCCTTGAAGCTCTTCCAAGACTAGATGGCTCATCATAATTAACTTTGATCTGCATATCTCTGTGTACTGCAGATCTTTTATTGGCTATGTACTTAGAAGGCTTCAAAACTTGTCTAAAGTTTTAACTGTAGATAATTATAATTAATCAGAAAAGCAGTGCTGTAATTCCCGAGTAGCATGTATGTTATACATTGGGCTCTATATTTTTATGTCTGTAGTTGCTGTATATCATATAAAATGTTATTTCCATAACTTCTCATACAAAATTTGAAAAGACAATTATCTTCACTTTTCAAATGGCTTTTTTTGGTAATTATTCTTAAGTATCTTAGGTTTTGAAACTGCTTTATAGAAGTCCTGACTTAATTCTTGCTCAGCTTGGCCTACTGAGTCTGTAATCTACAAGTGTTGAAATGGGTAACTACGAAACTCTTGTACCTATTTCAGGAACTGCGTCTTTCTCTCAAAGATAAAATGTGAATATAATAATATTTCCTGTTGGAAATCACTACTATAAGGCATGATGAGAATATTATTTCATATATCTGTATGTATATCCATATAATTATATATGTACATATAGATATATATTTGTGAATTTAAAAAAGCAATTTCAAAGCCCTTTTTTATTTATTACATTAATTTTACATTAAATTTAGCTCAGTGATTATTGTTGCTTTAATTATTATTTTGAACAGATTTTCTTTACTATGGGTACTTCTGTCCACCTATTCCACATCTGATACCTGGCTCTTCTTTTCCAGTCTAAAGATATTAAGCTTCCTCTGAAATGTTTCGTGTGTATGAATTATAACTACTTTCCTGTATTAAACTCCTGTTCTGTGTTTTCTTAAGTGGTAATCTGAAGATGTAATTTCTAAT